AGGATCAACAGGGTTTTAGTTCCTAAAATGATATCAGAAAGTCCTTAATACCAAGGCTTCAGGCAAGCAGGTGGAGAAATGAGAATTGTAGCAACTGGTGTCAATCATACACAGAGATTATCGGTCAGGATGGGACAGGTTGTGCCTCACTAACAAATGACCACAAAATCTCATTGACTTAAAAGTTTGTATCATCCTACGTTTTCTTCTTAGATTGAGTCTGCTCCATGTTGGCTCCTATCAGGGTCCAGGTTAATGGAACAACCTCTATCTAGAATACTGTTGATGTTCTAGACATGTAGACCACAGACTGGCTTTTAAGGCTTTGGTCTGATATGACACAATTCATTCATACATTTCATCAACCAGAGCAACTCAGATAGCCAGCCTGATTTCAACAGGTCAGAGAAGTACGTTATGAGTAGAATACCGTCTACTACCATGCAGTTCTGATGGTCCTTAAAGCATTTGCCAACAGGGCCTTCTTCATTTCTCATAAGATTTTCTACCACTGAACTGCTCTACCCACTGAACTGCCTCTTTTTAAAAATAGAAGACTTCTACTGGATTCTTAAAGTTAGGATGATTCTGTCTAGTTCATTGGGGCATTCTCATGACAGTGCCTGGTATACCTTAGACATGGACACAGACATAGACATTTACCAAAATGATGTGCAGTTGATATCACCATTTGTCTTTGTCTTTGCCATGTGCTGCCATGTTCTCCATGTGTGCTTTCCATGCAGAGAATCCTCTACAGAATGATTATACTGGTTCCTTTCTCCTGAGACCATCCAATTTATCCATACTTCTTCCTGTGCCTTGTGGTGGACCACAAAAGCGTCATGCCATCTTCCTTTTCATATGCCCACTTTGAAGTACTAAGGACCCTCTGCCCTCTTTAAAGTCATCTGGAACAGAATGCAAACCTATCAATTTAGAAGTTCATACAGGGGCCAGAGGTGGTATGGTGGATAAAGTTCTGGACTCCCATATGGCTGGCCACAGTTCTAGTCCCATATCTGCTGGCTTGAAAATCATGCTGGGCACATGTGCATGCATGCTCAAAATCACAGGAGAAGAATAGAGGAGAATGAATTGCGGCATGACCATTCCTCCAGGACGGGGGAGTGATTTTTCATTTTCCCTTTCTCTGTCTCTCTCTGGCAAGTGCACACACCCTATAGCAAAGACCTTAAAAAAAAAGAAAGAAGTTCAGACAGGGGCCTCAAGGTTCTATCTGTGTTCTCACAATACAGCATGCCCTGAAATCTTCTTTATTCACCCATGGTTATCTATTTGCTGGCTCAGAGAAGCTTCGCCATATGCAAAGGGCCCAGGGATCTCAAATCAAGCCTCACTCTTGTTCTAAGCCCCTAGCACTCCAGCTGCAGCTGCTGTGCTCCAGATCAGTGTGACTCCTCAGCAGCCTGGTGGCTCTAAGGATTTCACAGAGGAATCCAAAGGAGCATCTTAAGTACTCTGTGATGTACAGATACTGCTACACCATCCTGTGCTGCATCCTGTTTACCCATTACTTTTCCATGGGATCCCTTGGGAAGAAAAGAGACAGAAGAACTTTTGGAGGAAGTAAATCTTTCTCAGTTTATTTAAGTGTACCAAGAAACAAAATACAATCTGTTAAGTTTTGTAGAAGAATCCACCATCTGGCTAAATGCAGCTTGATGCTTTCTGGCAGACGACATTTGTGGGTTAGGGAGGGTGCCCCCCACTCCCCTCAGCAGGGAAGACAGAGAACTCCACACCACTGGCCTTGCTAGCACACACGTCCTCATCATCCCTGTCTCTGGAAGCAGCCATCTGGGTAGGGAGGTGGGATCTCACAGAATTGGACTGTGTTGACCGGTCAGTTGGCTGGCACTCTGGACACTTCTGTGTGGTAGACAAAAAACATTAGTTGGGTTTCTGAGAGGTGGGCCTGGCTCTATCGGAAAGTATGTCTGTGTGATTTTGGTCCAGTCTGGGCATCAGCTTCCATATTTGCAAAATAAGCAGGAGATTTCAAGACCTCCCTCCAGGTTCACTGAGGTGGTGCAATGGGGAGCATGGGCTTCAGAGCTAGAAATCTTTGACAACAAGTCCTCTCACTAGCTGGTTGTGATCCTGGGCTCACTCTACCTCAAGTTACTTATCTGAAAACTAAGATCTTGCTTGGTATTCACATGCAGATGAGTAACTAAGAAAGAGTATATGAGGTACTTAACTGAGATCTGGCATCTAATAAAAGGTTCATGGGAAAATGATAAAGTTCTGTAACTATAAAAACTAAACTTCTACAAATATTGGACATATATATAAAATATCTCTAACAAGTTGTGAATTGCTTTATGACCAATTTTGTCTCCTAGCCCTCTTTATGCGCCCCCATTCACCCCATGCTAGTCTCTGCTCTACACATATCTCCTCCTTCTACCCAAACCTATTTGCAGAGAAATTTATAATCGGTCTCTTCACTAATCTAAGGGGTTAGTTGCAGAGCAAATTCTACAGAACAGCAAAGTCATTAACCAAAAGAAGGATCTGCAAAAGGTGGAGTTTCAAGCCCTGCCCAACCTCCCTCCCCACGTTCCCCTGCATGGAGGCCTGGCTGCTCCATATGGCAGCCAAGCTGGCCTCACAGTCACCAGGTGTATGTGACTGCCTGGACCCTACTAGATTGTGTTGGCGTCGCTGACTTGAGCTATAAGTCAGGAGCCTGGAGCACTCAGCCTATGTCTCTCTGACTGCCCCAGATTTCAGGAACTGATACCAACTCTGTGTGTGCCCCAGGCACTAACAGAAAAATTCTGGTGTCAGACTCATTTTCCTTAATGGCTCAAAGAAGATACCACCATGTTGTGTTGTCCTGGGAGCATTGGGAAAATGAACTTGGTCTCAAATGTCATGTGTCTTCTGCTCCCAAGCCACTCACAAATCTCTACCTACCACCACCTCAGTAGATGTCTTTTTTTACAAATACCTGTGGAAGAAGGTACCTAAGGAAGATGAAGGCTTTGTCACTGAAACATTAGTGTGAATTAATTTGTCAGGTAGTAATGTGGATTCCAACCATGTAGCTGGGAGAGTGGAATGAGAATAGGTTGGCACAATGAGACGTATGGAGCATGGGCAAGAGATTGGATGGGCAGGCTCGCCTGAGCATGGTGTATGCTTCCAGGAGTATCTCCTGGGGGCTCTGGCTGGGGGAGGCAGTTATAAATATTAAGTGAGTGCCTGCAATATGTCAGGCACAGTTCCAGGCAAAATCCCTAGGAAATACCCATGTGAATAATGCCATCAACCAACTTTTCCCATACTTTCCCTTGATGGGCACAAGCTACAGTGTGATCATGAATTGGGAGACCAGAACCTTCCACCTTCTCAGACACTGCAGTTCCAGAGTCCTCTCCTAGGGTGACCCTCTCACAATGCTAAGCAGAGCATTTGAGTCTAAGGACACATATTTTTCACATAGCTTACCTTTCACTTGCAAGTCAATGTGTTGATCTGTTTCAAGGCTGGAGGGAAAACTGGCTGGCTTCAACATTTTCAGAGAAGTATATTGGTTTCCAATATGGCACCTTCCTGAGGGATTTTTAAGGATCATTTTAACTGTAGGAGATTTTTCATGGTGCCTGACTTTGGAGCCCAAACCCTAGGTAACATGAGAAGTCAGAAATCCAATGATCCTGGGAAAATGACAGGTAATTCACACAACCACTGTCCATTAAACCCATCAGAGTTTATGACTGATGGGGGTATACTGTGCCAGGAGAGAGCCCCGTTGCACTGGCCTTGGGCACAAGGCACACCCTAGATTCCCTGATTCTTACTTAAATAACAGGGATAACTCCCAACCCTCTTGCTTCCCTAGGTAACTAAGCCCTATCTCAGTATACATAGGATAATTCAGGAGAGAACTTGCATTGGAGCCTCCATAGAGAGTAAGTGGAGGCCAGAGGGTCCTCTCAGCAGGGCAGTCAGTCTTCTCTGCCAGGCCAGCCAGTCCCTCTCACCTCTGCCTACCATTCCAAAGCTGTGAGTATGATTTTCTAGGACACAAATCTGCCCATGGCTCCACCACTGCTTTGGGTTAGATCTTCGTGCCCTAGCCTAGAATAATATTAGGAGTAGAATGATGACAACGGTGAAGATGATGCAGTTATAACTAATACTGACTGAGTGTTCACCATGTGGTGGGCAGGCTGCTGCAAGCTCCGGTGAATTCTCTCATTCGGTCTTCATAAAGCACTGGGAAAAGGAAATAGAAAGTCAGAAAGGCTCAGAGACTCGCTCACGGTCACACAGCTAGCAAGTTGCACTGCTAGGCATCAAAGCCAAGTGTTTCTGACTTTCCAACCTGTATTCTCAACCACTGCATCATCTGGCCTGGACAAGTGATGATAAAAAACAATAATAATAAAGATGTCATGAGTACAAAGTGGCTCGTGCTCTTTCTCATGGGATCAGGAACTAGAACTTTCCCCAATCAGAGCCTTGATCACACTGTGCCAAGTTGCTAGCTCTGAGCCCCTCCAGGTCAGAGACTGTGTCTGGCTCACCCTCACATGGCCAGCACCTAGTAAGGGTCTTGGCACATGGCTGGTGCTCCATAACTGGTTGACAAACTAATGGAAGGATGAATCCATTGGTGAAAACCAACCCTGGCTTTCTCTAAGAACTTTCCCTGCTAATAAAACTCCCAGAGTCCTCCCAAATCTCTAAGCTGCCTCCAGCACTTTCTCCTTGCACCCTGTCTTGCCACGTAGAACACTTCCGTTCGTAACTTGCTGATGCCTCTCCAAGAATACCATAAGCAGCTCAGGCTGGGATGCATTTGGCGCTTTTCTTCCCAAGGCGCTGAGCTCAGGGCTAGGCACAGACTGCTCTGAGTAAGCATGCTGAGTAGATCATCCTGACCCAGGAGTAGAAAACAGAAGGTGAGGACATCCGCTCCATAAGGAGTGACTCACTGTTCTTTCTTTTCCCTCTGCCTTCAGGAGCCTCTTCTGGCATCATCGACCTCTTGCCATCCCCCAGCGCTGCCACCAACTGGACTGCAGGCCTGTTGGTGGACAGCAGTGAGATGATCTTCAAGTTTGATGGCAGGCAGGGTGCCAAAATCCCAGACGGGGTTGTGCCCAAGAACCTGACAGATCAGTTCACCATCACCATGTGGATGAAACATGGCCCCAGCCCTGGTGTGCGAGCTGAGAAGGAAACCATCCTCTGCAATTCAGATAAAACTGGTGAGTCTCTTGCCTATTTACCTACTAAACGGCTGGGCACAGACACAGCCATGGAGGATGGGGGAGAAAAGCGGGAGTGTAAGAGGAGCTCAGGAGGGACCAGCAGTTAGTGTAATGGCTATGTCGCTGAATTCCCATGTCAGTCGACCGCGGTTCAAGTCCTGGATCCAGTAGCTTAAATTTACACCGGGTGCGTGTGCATGCATGCCCAAGATCCTAAGAGGAGAATGGAGGAGAAGGGATTGCAGTGTGGCCATCTCCCCTGGGGGGGGGGGGGGAA